AGGAGGAGGAGGAAGGGGGGCGGCCCGATCGTACCCACCGGCGGGGCGGGGCCCGGAGCGGGCTGGCTGCCTGCAGCGCCGAGCACCTCTTGCGCAAACCCGCAGCGCGGGGAGACACCACTACCCCCACCTTCCCCCCATAAAAAAATCTCCACTCGCTCAGCTACAGCACCGGCACCGGCAGCAGCGGCTCAAGTCGCTAGCCGGCCCCCGGTGGCCCTCACCGTGGTGGGGGGGCCTGTAGGAGCACCCCAGGCGCAAACTGGTCTGCCGGAGCAGGAGAGCGTTTTCCTCAGCCTCGTCGGCTGCGCCAAGCCCCTGCGGAGGGGAGAGGGGTGTCAGCTCCGTGGGATATACTCGGCACTCTCCTCTTGCAGGACAGCCTCATTGTCCCCCGCAAAAGCACCCATGGGTGCACAGGAGCCGCTGGAGGTGCCTGTGCTGCAGCCAGCTGTGCTGCCACTCCACAGGCCATGGCACGCCACGGCGGGGGTCACAGAGTACCCCCGTGGGGCTTCCACCTGCCCCAGCGCCTGGCCTGGCGCCAGTGAGACACGACACACTTCATCCCTCTGAATCAGCCCTGCCACATCCTGGCTGGGAGCCGGTTTTGTCACTCACCACCCCTACAGCGTGCCGGGAGTGGGGATCCTGGCATGGGGCAGACCCAGTCACCGGGTGTCCCAGCCTCCACGGGGAGCAGGACACCTGCAGCAGCCCTGCTCCATCCCCACAGCAGCCCGTGCACGGTGCCCATCCCTCCGTGGGGAGGGATCACACCCGCTCTGTCCCCAGCCTGGGTTCGGGGACACGTGCATCCGGCGTGCTCGCACACCAGGGCCCCGCTCGCTGCCAGCTCCCCCCGCCGCACACCAGAGTCCTCAAGCTGTGCTGCCAGTGCTCACCCACACACACACACTGTCCCTGGTCCCGGCTCACCAGGCTCACATGCTCACATTATCCTCCATGCGGTGCCAAGGCACACAACCGCTCCCTCCGTCCCCGGCTTCCCTGCTCCCCACAGCTCCTTTTCACCGCCTAGCTGCACACCAGAGTGGCAGCACGTGGCCTCTGAATAGGGGGGCCCTTCGCAACGGTGTTGTTTCCCAACTTGCTGGCACCAGGAACGCATCTGCGATGCTCCAGCCCTCTGCCTGGAGCTCAGCCACGAATGGGGCACCCCCAGCAGCCCATGGGGACAGGCAGTTGCCCGCAGCAGCAGGCAGTAACGGCATCCCACCAGGGCTTCTGTCCAGGCAGGTTGCTGGGCTGACTTCAACGAGTGCTGGTCACGTCTGCACCCCTCCTTCCTGTCTGCTCTGTTTCCTGCCACCACGTCTCCACCACGGGCTGTGTTCCCCCGAGCCTGTCTCCCTGGGATGGCAGTTCCCACGGGGCCCTGGGGCTCAGCCCTGCCTGGGTCACTCCAGTGGCCAGGGATGCCCCATTCCCTGGGCAGAGATGCTCCTGCCTCCCATCAGCTTTTCCCCAGCCTCCTCTCTCCACTCACCTCATCCCCCCGGCCCCCCCACATCACAATTCTGCAGCAATTTCATGAGGCCACCAGCAAACCGCTCCAGGAACCACCTGGTTTAATACAACCCTGCAATAAAAGCCAGCCGATTGCTGTGCCCATGACAGCCCCCGCATGGCCTCGCTGACGGCAATTTGTGCCCCAGAAGGCGGGGTCACAGAGGGGCAAGGCTGTGACTCCACAGGCTCTCTATGCCCCCAAGCATCCTGACCCCCTCCTCAAGGTTGCTGAGAGCATGGGGAACACCAGGAGGCCTCCAGCTCAGCTCTGCAGGGCTCCCGGGACAGCAGGCAGGGTGTTATCCATCTGCAGAAAGGCGATGGGGAAAAATCTCATTCCCTCCTGCTGGGCCATTGCTAATAACGAAGTGTGTGGGGGAGGGAACGGAGCCGAGCGACCTCCAAGTCACATTCAGGGCTATAAAAGGAAGCTGGGTCTCCAGCACGGTGCCTCTTCCACAAAAGCAACCAGAGGATGAGGGGGCTGCGAGCAGAGCTGAGAAATAGCTGCCAGGCAGCAGGAGAGGAGCCTTTAGCGCTGAGCGAAGTGCGAGGTGCGCATATGCTCTCTGTTTCTGCACATCCACGTCTTCATGAAACCTGCCTGAAACTGTGTCATCTATTTTGAAAAGCACAGAGAAATACTTTGATCTGCCTCCGCCAGCCCTGGCTGCGGTTCAGGGACCGGTAAGTGGCTGGAATACAAGTAGGTGGCTGATCCCAAAACCTTTGTGATGGAGAGACAGGAGTGGGGCCACTGGGCCGACATCTTTTTTCAGCCTACCACAGTGAGGGACATGACAAGTTTTGGGAACACCTCTGGAGCAGTGCACTGCGTGCCCAAGTCCAGCTGCAATCCTTGTGCGAGATATCAGCGCTGCTCTGGGACAGCTGGGCTGGAGAGGCCATTGGGAGCTCTTTGGCAGCATGTCCCCACATCGCCCTGGGGCGAGGACAGGCCCCAAGCTGGGGAGGAGGACACGCTGGGCCTGCTTGCTCCTTGGATGATGCAAAGCAGCATGGCCTGATCCTCACTGCCCTGCACCGCCACCTTGACCCCTTCCTCAAGAGGCACCCCCCAGCACAGCCCAGGCCACAAGGCTCCAGCCTCCTGACCCAGCTCCAGAGCAGCACGGAGAGCAGACAGCACCAGATCTCTCCAGACACCTCATCCTGCTGTCCCTACACAGTACATGACCCCCACACTTGGCTCTGATACTTTTGCCTTTCTCATCCCAGCACTCTTCCCCGGAGATGCCACGTCCCTGGGGCCGCACATCTTCCGGGGATGGTGACAGCTTCTGTCTGGGGACGTCTGCAGGCACTCAGCAAAGCAACTGCTCCAGGAAGCACCAGGCAGGGGATCAGGACAGAAGGGGGCCAGGAAACACAGAGGGCCTGGTGCCAGCACTGGTGCCAGGGCTGAACAGAGGGGTACTGGCTGCTCGGCTGGGTCTGCCCAGCTTGAGGAGGCAGCAGCACCCAAAACGTGTGCCAAGACCCCAGAGCCAGCGCAATGCAGTCCCACACACAGGACCATCTGTGAGCCAGCCCAAGCACCCTCACTCATGCTGGAGAGGAGCCCAGCGCTGGCAGGGGTCTCCCTTGAAAGTCGTTGGGCATCTCTGCCACCCCCTAGCAGACCAGGATGAGCGGCAGCATCCCAGAAGTCACAGTGCCTGTTTGCTCCCAGCACGAGCAGGCAAGGACCGGGCGCTTTCTCCACGGCTGCTGCTCCCACCTGGGGCTCAAGAGCTGGGTCCTGAGCAGAGTGTGGGGCCCCGCTGCCCAGATCTATACATCCCACTTCTCATCAAAAGGAGCTGGTGTGGCAGATTTCTACCAACCCCAAACAACTGGCAGCCCCCAGTACCCTGCCTCACCCATTGGGACCTTCCCAGCTTCCCCACCTGCTGCAGAGCTCCCAGGCATGTTCCCAGCAGCCAGAGGACATTCACCTCCTCATGTCCCCTGTCCCAGGGCACTCTCCCAGCATGCAGCATCCGTGCTTCTGCCACCTCCCAAAGGCTGCTCTTGCTCTGACAGCAGCAGGTCCCCACATCACTGCAGGGGTTGGGCTCTTGGGGACCCAGGGTTTGCAGGGTCCACCAACCCAGTCACCTCCTGTTCACCAGCACCCCAAGGCTGACACAGCCCTTTGCCCAAGCACCTTCCCTGAGCAGTTCGCTGACCCAAACAAGCCACATCCACAGTGGAGGGCTTGAGCTCACAGCAGAGTCCTCACAGACCCTGCCAGCAGTAGGGGACCAGTGCTATGATACCCTCACCAAGTAAATACCCCCCCTACCCTGCTGGAAGGGGCAGCCTGGGCCCTCGTCCTGCCATGCCATGGGAGAAACCAGCCTGGCAGCAAGGCAGAGCCTTGAGCAGAGTGGGTGAGATCTGCATCCTGGGTACCCCACAGCCTTGCCTCTCCCTCATCAACCCAACCTCCCTGTTCCCACCTCTGAGGGAAGCTTCCCAGCCCCTGCCTTGCCCAGAGAAGCTCTTGTTCCTCTCAACTCCAGGGGGCTAGGGGCAACCATCCTAATTCCTGCACTTCACCCATGCCATCGCCCCAGCTCCACCAGCACTGTGGTGAACCTTGGCAGCCAGTCCTTCCCAGGACACCTCACACAGGGCCACAGCAGATCCCAGTTTCCCTTAGCACTTCTGGGGGGACATCAGGTACTCCAATCCCACCAAAAAGGCTGAGGCATCATGTGCTACAGAGGACAGGCAAAGAAAGGAGCAGCTCAGCCAGCAGCTTCCTCCTTACTCCACGGAGAGAAGTCCTGGGCTACCTCAACTGCTAACATCCAGTAGAGCTGCGGACACTGGGGCGCAGGGCATGGCTCAACCACAACTGCTTTCTGCAATGAAGCAACCACAGCACAGCCCTGGGGGTACCTGGCAGCTGAAACACAGGCACCATCTCACCCGGAGCCCATTTCAGACCGGCTTGGTCTCTGAACCAGAGCAGATCACCTGCCCAGAAAGAGCATAGCCATAGCCAAGCCAGAAACGGGTGTGCTGAAGCCAGTAAGGTGAAGGGAGCAGGAAAAAGGAGTGGTGTGGCCTGGCCCAGGGCATTCACAACTCACAGGTGCCCTGACAGTTCTTTATTGTCTTCTGAGCTGGGTGGCAGCTCAGCCATGTCCAGTGCAGGAAAATGGCCTCCTGCACCTGCCCTGGGAGGCAGCACCAGCATCTGCAGTGACACCACTGAGTCCTGCTCTGAGCCTCTTCTGTTGGTCCCAGCGAAGCCCGGTTCTCGGCCTTTTCTGTTCCTCTGCGTCTCGCCAGCACTGCCATACTCGTCTGCTGCAAAAATCCCACGTGTTCCAAGCAGCCTGGTGGCAGCCCCGGCGTCTCAGCAAAAGTACAGCGCACACAACTGGCACACGGGAGGGAGGCTCAGCCAAACGTGCACCAAGGGGTCTCGCTTCCATCACAGTCCAGCAAGATATTAAGGACGGTGCAAGGGGCTCCTGCCACACTCAGAGCTGTCCGTGACTCAATTCGGTACCTCACGTTGTTCAGACCTCCCTCCCGATCCACCTTAAACTGTTCCTGAGGAAGAGAAAGACCATTCAGCCTGCACTGGCTTCCAGCAGAGGAGGAAGCACCCAAGCAAGTGACCACAGAACTGACAGGGGAGCACACAAGCGAGGAGGGCTCAGAGCACACGGTGACTGCAACCCAAATCTCCTGTGGTTCCCCTTGGCCACACTGAGGTCCCACCTGCTTCTGCGCAGCGATGCGCTTCTGGTCTCTCTTTCTCCAGGCTGGGTCATGCAGGTGCTGGAAAGTCTCATATCCAGTCGTGATTCCAGAGGGACGGCGAACCTGGAAAGCGAGCAAAGCTTCTGTAAAGCTACCGAAAAACGCTGCATCTGCTACTGGAGGAGGGAGCACAGAAGGGCTGCCTTCCCCAGGTCCCAGCCTGGGCAGCTACAGCTGGGGATCAGGTGGGGAGACAAGGAGAAGGGCAATTTCAATCTAGGAGGCCATGAAACACCCATTACCTGGAGACCGGCTCCTTTAATACGTCGATAAAACTCGTCGTCCTCCCGTCCCCAGCCCCAGAAGCGGTTGGACATGCCATTGCACTGGAATGAGAGGGGCACCATACCGGCCAAGGTCCGGTCCAGCACAACTCTGCACACCGCAGATGAGCAGACACCAGCATCGCAAGCTCTGAGCACCAGCACAGCTTCCCCTCTCCTGCCCGCCACCAGCTCCACCTCAGGCTCTGTTCCCAAATCCTGTTGACTCCTTTCCCCCCCTCCCAAGCATGGAGCACAAAGTATACGAATGTTCACCAAGACAATGTCATAGCCCCAAACTGGCCAGGACATCCCACCCACATGCTCACCATCTCATAGTGCTGCTTGGTGAGCAGGAGGATGCCGCCCACGTAGGTCTTATAGTGGTAGAGAGGGTGTAGCTCTGGCGATGCCACATGGAAGGGTCCTGCCTCTGGAAAGCTATAGTCCAGCTGCTCGTTGAGGGGCAGGAGATCGACGTCATGCATCGCGATGTAGTCGGTGTCGTTGCCACTCTCCAGGAAGCCCACGTTGATCAGGGATGCCCTGTTAAATCTGCCACAGGACCGGGGACTCTCAGTGACACGCACAGCAGCCACCATCCCTTCACATGCCCCTCCTGTGCTCCTCAGTGCTAAATGTTTGACGGATCCCCAAACAGGGACACACACAAACACAACATGGAGCACAGCGTGCCATAGCTGCCCATCCCAAAACTGCACCTCTGCTTCTCCCTACACAGGCAGCACATGCTGAGCACAACGGTGACACACAGGGGTTTGGCCACTGCAGACCCCAGGGGGCTACAGCAAGCCCTGTCCTGCCCGAGGCCAGCTGGGGAGCTGCACAGCACCCACCAGGGCTGCAGGCAGGGGATGAGTGACAGCATTTCCAAACACTCCGTAGTATTTCTTTTAACTTCAGTGTCCCCACACATTTGCTGCTATAAACCTGTAATACTGGGGAGAAAGCTGAAATATCTGGAGGTAGGTAATTCTCTTCTTGCTTAGGAAGAGAGAAGCAAAATACTGCTTTGTCCTTTACAAGCTTTTGAGTGAGCAAATTTGGGCAGAGGATCACACTCCCCGCTGTCAGGCCCTCTGCTTCTCCACACCACCAGAGGCAAGCGGGAGACCCTCTCAGCGGGGACAAAGTTTCAGAGAAGGGCCCCTCTCACTCCTTTTTTTCTGCTGGGCCTCGCTGTGGCGAGGGGAGACGCTACCTGAAATGATCCACCTGGTTGAGGATGAAGATGTGATGGCGGATCCTCTTCTTGCTCAGGAAGCGGTGCATGTAGGGCACGAAGGCCAGCAGCTCCTCGAAGCGCTCCCGGAACGGGACGAGCAGCGCCAGGCGGTGGGGACCCCACGACGGCTCGTCCTCCGCCGGCAAGAGGGGGGCCTGGGGCGGGCAGGGCTGGCGGGGGGGAACCCCCCGGCTCTGCCCGCCGACGGGGAGCGGCCCCTCGCCCGAGCAGCTGAGCTGGAGCCAGAGC